AAAATTTTCAGTAATTTTTCCTAATTATAATAAAAAATAAAACCCCCAGTGGTGATTAAATACCACCAAAATAAAGCTCTATCTGTCCCCAAAAAATGGTGTAAAATTCATTTCAGTACAGCGTTGCATGAAGGAATAAACGTCAGTCAAAGTATCGCAGCGCTGAATACTGAAAAATGGCCTGGCCAGGAAGGGGGGTCTAAACACCTGGTCTTGAAGTGGTTAAAGGAGAACTATGAGGCGAGTGAAAATTACTCCTCATAGTTCGAGCCGACGTGTGACAATGAAACTGTCTCACGTCGGCTCAAAAGATCGGGGAGTGAACGCATACTGTCGCTCACTTCTCAATCATGCCCCTGCAGAGAGCCGTGGCTGTCACTCACCGCTCCACACCAGGGATTTCCCCCCCCCCCCCCCTCCCAGATCCTCTAGCACTGACTGGCAGAACGGAAGGGGGCGGGTACAGCAGGCTCTGATTGACCGTCAATCACACAGCTGGGTGGATCGACAGTAATGTCGGGATCCGTCCCGGCTGCGGCAGTCTCATGTCCTCCCGTGACCCTTAGGAGAACTATGGGGTAAAAAACTGACCCCCATAGTTCTCCTTTAATGACTGTGGTCTCTATGTCCATATTCATCGATTGTGACTCTCCCAATATATGACAAGCACTCAAAATTAATGAATACGTTATACATTTTCTCTAAAGAATGCAAAACCCAAGATCAAAAAACAAAAACCAGTTACCTTTCCCTTCTTTTCCATAAGCCAGAGAAGGAGGTATGATCAGCTTCCGTTTCTCCCCCACACACATATCTTTGAGGCCTTTATCCCATCCTTTGATACCTTCTTTAATGCCAAGTGTAAACCATACAGGCTGGTTATTATCTGCATAACTAAAAGACATCAGATCGCCATGAGAAATGACAAGAAGAATTAAACTGAAGGATTTGATTTTAAAACTATGATTTTACTCAAAAGTAATACTTAGAAGAAAAAGATCTCTACAGTAAATCAAATCGAGTTTTGGTAAATACAGTATATGTGAGAACATGGTACCTATCAATTACATGGAAGGGCCCATTAACACCAAAATTGGACCAAAACAGGTCAGAGGGCTGTTGTGTTGCAATTTCAACCTCTGCTGACTTTTTTCTGTTTCTTTTTTTTGCCAATCTTTATTTTATTTAACATGTCCTGAACGGACAAACTTCTATGTATTTTCTTTTTAACTTGTGTTCCCTTCACATCTATTTTTGACACATTGTGGTACAATGGAAAGAAGTAGAGCATGCTCAATTTTTTTTGTTCACCACACTGCAACGGTGTGAACTGGTCCCACTCACACCCATATATTTTTTGGGTTACCTTCCATCAGCAGCCATTGAAAATCAGATGCTCACAGCTTCAATGTGAACGGGGACTAAAGTCTTCATACCCCCAGCTCACTAACGTTGGGAGCAAACCAAGAACACTGGACACAGGCAATATATGGTATCAGACTAGCCTAAGGATTTTGGAATAACAGACTCCATGAAGACTTTGGGATTGCCAGGGATCAGTGGTAAAGTAAAGCAGCAGAACTCTGCTGAGAAACCATTTACTGAGAATAAAAAGGGGAAAAAAAGACCAGAGTATTTGCAAGCTTGTCACAAGCACAAACCAGTTGGGGGTGCAGGGTTCAGCAAAAAAAACTGCTAAGCTTACAAACTGCCTTATAACCCCCTAAAGTGTAACTTCCCTGAAGGGAGAGACCATAAACCCTGACATGTTGGATATTATTTTTTTTTAGTATTCAATTAAAGAACTTAGTGGATGCAAAGTTTGCAGGGGGACTCACGTTGAATGGAAGCGGGTTCCATTGCTCTCCAGGAAGCCCTCAAAGTGGACCAGCAGCATATCCCCATTCTTAGTCTTTCTGTTGCAGATAAAAGGCTTCTCCAAAACTTTAATTTCAACCTCAGGCTCGGGGATGAGGGCGGCACTGGCACAGGCCAGCAGAGCCGCGAGCACCATCACCAGCATCATCCCCTCAACCACTGACACCAACAACCCAGCAGACGTGGCACAGACCCTCTACGACTGCAACCAGCGAGCGAATCGATCGCTCCAGGGCCATTTAACGTTGCAGAACCCTATCCTATAGGCTGGAGTGGTGGGCGTGAACGTCGCTTCAACACTCCGCCTCACTGGTCAATGAGCGAACAACGCCTTCCAAGTTCTGGAATGCGATTGGCTGAGCACGTACACCCGGAAGAAGGATCGGGGAGCGGAGACTTCCTGCATAGGCGTTTGTTCTCTGCTGATTGAGACGTAAAGGGGCGTCCCGTGACGTCACCAGCTACTGCCGCTGCCTACAGAGCACGGCTGGTGGTTGCTATTCACGACGGAGATGCGTTGGTTGTAGTGTTGCCTGTCACTTCCTGTCCTAATACCAGTGGGATCGATGCCGGAGTGCGGGCCATGTGGAACTGAGCCGGTCACTGCCATCAGCATGGAAGGGATACTGTACAAATGGACCAATTATCTGAGCGGTGAGTGTTGAAGTCATTGCTGGATACCAGAGCAAGCAAGGCAGTGTTCAGGGTGGGGTTGTACACAGCTTGGTGATACTTACTTTTACTTACTGGTTTATATCCTTTTAAACATCATTGGACTTTAAAATCCCAACAGTGGAGGGATTTATAAAAACTGGAGCAGTTGCCCATGGCAACCAATCGGCTTCTCTGTTTCATTTTCAAAGATTAACTGAGCAAACTAAAGAGAGAAGCTGATTGGTTGCCAAAGGGAACTACTTCAGTTTTGATAAATTCCCCCTATTGTCTGTTCCGATTTCAGCATGTGCATTTTGAAATATATGATCTGTCCATTTTCTATGCGTTTTATTGTGTTGGGAGGCCCACAGAAGTAACGGCAGCACCTAAAAAACATGTATAACATGCATTTTCATGTGTTGCCAAACCTTGGTCAGTGGCTGTTAACCCTAACCAAAGTCTAAATTCCAACATGCATTAAAATGCACAAAGAGAGATGCATGTTGGCTCATGACAACGCACCTGCCCAATGCTACAAAAAAGTCCTCTATACACCCATAGATCTAAATGTTATTGAAATGAAATCCTTTCTGGTGTGTTCTGCGGCCAGCAGTCATCTTCTCAGTGGTACAACATACAAATGTGGAGGTGTTTTGTATACTGGAGGTGACCCCACTACTACCACCACCACCACCACCACCTTCCTAGAAATCATATTTCCAGTTTGTGTCACTGAAATGCAGCACTGAGACTGATCAGGTGGTAATAAGGAAGACAGACACCCCAATTGGACAGTCAGTATGAGTTATATTCCACTTTTTGTCAAAAAAAAGTTAATAAATGCACCCCTATTGAAAAAATTTGCATTTATTACTTTTTATGTATTGGAGCCTGCAGAGCATTGCAGCTGTGACCAGTGCAGACTATTGCTCCAGCCCAGGTCTATATGGAGGTACGGACCTCCTGTTACGGAGCTGGCGGAAGTATCAATGGACAAGAAGTGCAGAGACATCACCACACTTGTGATCCATTGAGATCTAGGAGTCCCTATGCCATTGGGGCAAGCGGGGCTTGTAGTTTTTCCATTCACGGACGATTTGAATGGATCTGTGAATGGATGATGCAGCTGTGTGGGTGGAGCCAAATTCCAAAATGCTGCAGGAAGAAGTGCCCTCGATTTCAGGTAAGTTAGGTGGGCAGGTTGAGAGTGGGGGGCTGTGGATGGTACCGTGTTCCATATAACACCCTAAATATAGGTGCAACATGAAACATGGTCTGAACGGTGGACTTAGACTTGAATGCAGGTGGAATAGTGGCTGCAGAGGGTGTAGCGTGGGACTTCTACTGGTGTCTTGCCTCTTATCTGTGTTCTGTTTTAACACAGCGTACACCACCCTGCTCTCTTGTTTTTAGTAGTGGGTGGAATTACATTGAAGCCATCTTGTTTACGTACATTGTTCACCTGTATACGCAAGTTTTTGAAGGACTGACAAAGGAGACTTTGCCCTGACATTGAAATCCATACACCCCGCCCCACAGCATCCAGAACTGCTCTTAAAAGCAATAATTACTTGATGGACTAATGTCTTTATTCAACCTCAAATACTATGTAACTATGTAATTACATTTTTGTAGAAACATATTCACATCATACGGACTATTTATAGAGTAAGTAGACAGACTGGTTCTACCTAGGCGGGGTGGGTGATCTAAACTATCCTCTTTCCTTGTGTTTGTGTTATTAGTAAATTGCTTGTGTGGCTCTGAGGTATTCTTGTGTTTCCATGAGGCCTGGTTCACACTGTATTACTTTAAAGTCAATGGAAGCTCTTCACACAATTACATTTTGTCCCACGGGCAAAATCGAGTGGTGCGCAAAAAGGCGCAGGAACAGTGGCGTAACTAGTGACCCCAGGGCCCCGATGCAAAAATCCATGAAGGCCCCTGCAGGAACTATTTTTGAGTGGTTATCGCACGTATTTGGTCCCATAGACATCTCTATGCATTGAAAACCGCGCAGTTATCAAGCAAATACAAATGCATGAAAACGCACAAAAACTGTAAACCAGGTCTGAAGACAAGTCCAACAGGAACCAAAACTGTACAATCGGGTCCCACCACCTGTCAGCACTGGAGGCCCTTTATGCCCTGATTCGGTTTAAGGTGCCCATACACCTGCCGATTATCGTACGATAATTGGCAGGTGTATGGAAGGCGTGCAACAGTTTCTACTGTACGGTCGCACGTCTTTTGTCTCCCGAGCAGGCTTGTAAAACCCGTCGAGAATCGTACGATTTTCGGCGGGTTAGTGGCGTTCTCGGGAGACGAAGGCCACACGGCATTTGAAAGTCGTGGGATGGTTGTAAAGTGTATGGCCAGCTTACAGTAATTGTGTGTACAATTAAGCTGGCCAGGTGACATTTAAAAAAAAAACAATACAGACTAATGATTTTAGGCCAATTTCTTTATGATTATGAAGAACTTTAAGACTGTTTTAGAACAATAAAACATTTAATCTATTCATGTTTTCAACCGCGATCGTGTGGGACCGCCCAGGCGGTATTGCGGCGGGAAACCGTGCGATCTGATTGGCGGCGAATGCAGTGCCATTAGAAAATAATGGCAGTGCCAACACGATCAGCGGTGGTGTGCGATTCCGTGACCGCCCAGCCTTCCGCTCTGTTTTGGTCGTGCTGCCAGTGGTTTCCTGCCTCAATACCGATTTGCCCGAGCGGTTGCACACATTCGCGGATGAAAACACTGCACGTTTAATCGCATGGAGATGATGGGGCAGCGGGACTGGTTTTCACTTTTTACATTTTTATTTACTTTCAAAAAAATTTTAATTTCCATTTATTTTAACTTTTATCGCCTTTTTAAGATTTTTATTTAGTTAAATTTTTAATTAGTTATTATTTTTTTTTTACTTTTTTCACTTAACTTTAATGCTATCACACAAGGGATAACAAACCCCTGTGTGATAGCATTTGGAGGTGACAGGTTCTCTTTATTGACCCTGTCACCTCCAACACTGGAGTTCTAGCACAGCACTGTGCTGGAACTCCTGTGAGTTCCTGTCACCGCTCCACGCCCCCCTGCTCTGTCACCGCTCCACGCCCCCCTGCTCTGTCACCGCTCCAAAAAAATGATAAAAATAGACATATAAAAAGAAATATGAAGGGTCGTTCTATTCAACCTAAATAGAAAATAAACTAAGAATGTACCCTTTTGCCTCCATTCGCTCAGAAGGAATGTTCACAGAAATTCGCAGGGTGAATGGCTCTGCAAATTGTTTTTAATTAGACCCCAAAGTATTTATAAATGTATTTATATTGCAATGTCTTGCTCACATCTCTGAAGGACGTTGGCTCGTTCACACCAACAGTCACGCCATTGATGTGTGCCGTGAAGGAAGCTGTGCTGTTGCGTTGTAATGACACACTGTACTGTTTATTTTTTTCAACTTTATTTAAATGTCACAAAATGACATCTCATTATCTATTCACTGCAGAGGGTTGCTGATAAACAAAGGGCATGTCCTACATTTTTGTAACTTTTTTTTTTCCAGCCCACACCCCTGCAGCGCAGCGGTGTGAACAGACCTCATGGAGCTAAAGGTACATTGCCTTGTCTATGCATTGGGACTGCATTGAGCAAGGCTGCCCAGTGCAGTCCTGCGCCTATGGTGTGAATGACCCATTACTGCCTGTTGCATTCAGGTTCTTGGTGGCATATTGCAGTTGTTGTTAATATCTGTACAATTTTATTTAGCTTTTTCTATTCAATCTGGTGTGTGTATATATTATATATTTATATACAATTCTCAGAGCCATTCTCAGCAAAAGTGCTTGTACATTCTTTCTTTGTCAATGGAGGCAAAAACAAATGTTATTAGCATATTTTCTTTCCAGACAGAATGTAATTTCAGGTAGACATTGCTTTATGGACACTAGATAGAGCTGAGGAGTAGTTATTTCTTATGCTGTGATATGAGGACAAGTCTAAACAATCCATTCATGTAGTATCAAATCAGACAGACCCTGGTACTAAATAGTTGATGGTGGATCTAAAGGAGATTGTGCATATAGTGTATGGCAGGGCTCAAAATTTCCACTCGCCCCCTCGCAATTTGCGAGTGAAAATTGTTCAGTCTCTGGTGGCCCCATAGTTTTGTCTTCTGCAGGGAATGGGGGAATTCATACTTTTGTTTGGAAAGTAAACATTGCGGTCCCTTGGCTTTTCTATGCTCCGTGTTCCAGCTCATGTTTTAGTAATTGCTGCGTGTGACTTTTTGTTTTGTTAGGTAATTATTTAATTAACAGTGAACAGTCTTCGTCCCCTTTCACACGGGCTGATCAGTAGGGAATCCTTGCACAGATCCCCTCCTGATTGGTACGGTACAGATTGGATATCACCGCTGTGACAACTATGTCCGTCCAGTTTTTTTTCCATCCATCTTGCGATGGAGGAGGAAACTGAAATGACCAGTCCTCATGTCGGTCTATGGGGAATCGGATGTAAACGGGCATCAGATGTCGATTTACATCAGATTACCCGCTGATCCGGCAAGATTAGGTCCACCGAAGCAGAACACTGTTCTGTTTGTTTTTCATGACTTGGCCGGAGTTGGGGGTAACCAGGTGTGAACAGACGCCCGTCCGTTTAGAGCCACCGCCCATAGACTGGCATTGGGCATCTGATCGGGTCTGCCTGATAAAAACTGACAGGCGGATTGTATCGGACTGCTCTTGTGAAAGGGGTCTTATTGTTTCTGACTTCTACCTTTTATTATGGTTACTTTTTAAGTTTCCTAAATGTGGGGAGGAGAATGGTTGGAAACTTTCCCAGGTTTTTATCATTGTTTCTATACTGGTGCCAGACAGGAAGCGGTGTGAAGTCTCAACAGGGACACAAATCAACAATAAAAAGGGTCTCTGTCCCCTTGGAAAGATATTGTTAAAGTATACGTCAAGGCACAATGAAAAAAATAAATGCAGTAATAATGTCCATCCATACTACTCGGATATACCCAGCCATAGACGCAGTTCCAGCAAATCAGGTCACAGTGTCCACCAAGACTACCCAGACACAACCAACCACAGAACCAATTCCAGCAAATCCGATCACAATGTTCCTCCAGACATACCCAGCCATTGAGATCTGATTTGCTGGAATTGGTTCAATGTTCATCCAGACTAACCAGGCATACCCAGCCATTGAACCAATTCCAACAAATTAAATCAGTGTCCATCCAGACTATCCAGACACACCCAACCATAGAACCAATTCCAGCTAATCAGATAATAATGTCCATCCATACTACTCAGATATACCCAGCTGTAGAAGATCAGATCACAGTGTCCACTAAGACTACCCAGACAATACCAACCACAGAACCAATTCCAGCAAATCCGATCACAATGTTCCTCCAGATTAGACTGGATCACTAACCCCCACTAAACAACACCATGACGAGACTTGAGCTATAAATAAAAGAAGAGAGGGTGGGTGGTAGCAGCTGTCCATAGTCCTCTTTAAATGGCTGACAGAGTGGGAGCACCAGGTAGCTGCGAGAGGGATTTGGAGAAACTACAAGTTCCATCAGCCACTGTGGCAGAGAAACTTGTAGTTTCAATATATTATATGTTTTGCCTGTTTTACCTGATGAAGGAGATCCTTTGTGACCCCGAAACGTTCGTTGTTTTTTACCACGATGCACGTCAGTAAATAGACGTATTTTGCAAATTTGGAGTGCCGGTGTCTCTGCTTTAGTGCTGTATCCCTGTCCCCCCAATTGTGCTTCTGCATTGTCATCTTGCCACACAGGCTTCCAATAGAGACAAGTAGCTGTATTAACACACCTTACACAGGCCACTGTTGTCACCATCAGGAAACCCAGTCTGAGAAATACCTTGCAGCACCACGGGAGTGCAAGGATATAGACAAGAAGTGCCTGCACAAGGGCTGCAGGAGATCAGCAGCACTTTAAAACAATACATGATAAAAGATAAAGAAATGAGTTAGAAACGTAGTGTCCTACAATTTTACCTGACACCTCTCTGATGTCTCTTGCTGGTTCAGTGTGAACATGGTGTGCTGTCCTTCTCCGCCCCTCAACTAATTTTGACAAAAACTTGGTAAGGAAAAGATGAAACATCTCAACCCTAAATGATAAGTTCATGTTTAAACAAAGTGCACCGGTTCTTTTCCCCCTCCTCTCCCCTGACCTAAAATTTCCCCTTGCCCAGATACATACTTGCCTCCATACCAGTGTCCTGCAATGTTAACATCCTTCACCGAAAATCTGCGCTGGCTGTGTCTGTGCATTGAAACCCATAGACTGTATCCCAATGCAGGAGATGATCCTATAGGAGCTTATGGAAATTCGTTCTACAGGCCAATCCAGCGCATAGAAGGTTCTCGGTGATGGACAGAAGCATTGTGGAAGGCTGCACCCATGGGATGGAGGCAAGTATACAACCATCCAATGGAAACCTACTATCTAGAATGTGACAGTGTGATATCTGATGGTTGATAAAGAACAAATGGTATGACTTACAGTTAGGAGGTAGCTGGTGTGTCAGAAGCTGGTGTGTCAATGATGGTAAGACAGTGACAGGTGCCTGGAGGGAGTCCAAGGAGGGATGAAAGATTGAACGACAACGGGTGTGAAAGCACTGTGGAGATCCCTAGCAGCACGCGTGCACGGCTGGCCGGGCCGCGGCGTCTTGGGAGAGAAAAAAAGCCGCAGGCGGCTGTGAACAACTGTGTTCGGTGCGTGCAGGCTGATGTCACGCAGCCAGATTCAGTCCTGGGTAGGGGAAGAAGTCATAAAGAATGGTCACCTGTACGGAGAAGAGGGCCCTCTGTACGGTGGCGGCTACGCGTTTCGAGGCACAGCCTCTTTGTCAAGCCTCAAAGTGTTCGGAAGCACGGGCTTCCGAACACTCCTGACCGCGTGACATCTGAACTTCCCACAATGTAACATCATCATTGCTTGCTAGAAGCAATGAATGATAGGATATGTAGTCTTGAGAAATCAAGCAGCAGGAAAAGAGCTGCAAAGCACGCTGGGAATCCAGGAAGTTGGTGAAAGCGATGGGCAGACAGAAGGCAGCACTCACTACATAAAAGGGGTTTTTAAAGTTAGCTTTGATTGCATTATATGTATTCATATTACAGTGCTGATGCTATAACAGGATAATACTGTATATGCTGGGACTTTAGAACTCTTTAAATTAGACATCTTTTTACATTTACAAATCTGCTTAATAATATCTGACAATTTACAGCAACAGATTGTTTTAAAAAAATGTTGCATATTTTACCATTTAAATAGCAATCCTTGATTGCGAATCCAGTGAGTTTGCCTTGGCTGTGATGATGTCATCAGTCTCCTGCAGGTAGGCGGAAGCATTTAGCCCCCATTCACACCTATGCGTATTGTAATATGCGCGTCTGTCGCGCGACCGTCACACGGTTTTTTTACCGCGATTCGCGGTAAAAAAGTCGCGCGATTCCAAAGGCTACTTGGCAGTATACAAATGGAAAACGCCCTACAAAACGGACCAATACGCAGCAAAAAACGCTCCGGGACCTTTTCATGCGTGGGCCGTTTTGTAGTGCGTTCGGGACGGGCGGAAATACGGACAGGTGGGAACGATACCATTGACTACAATGCTATTTATTTTTTTGACCGTTTTGTAGAGCGTTCATCGAGCGTAGGACGCGCTACAAAACGGTCAGGTGTGAATGGGGCCTTACTCAATCTCCTCTTCCAAGTGATCAGACTGCAACATTATAACTTTGTAGAGAATGGATGTAGCAAGCGGATGGTGACAGTGCTCCTCATCAGCTATGGCTGGAGCAACCCACAACTAGGCTGGTGTCAGACGGGCGATTCTTCCACTAGTGGCACATCGCCAGGAATGGGAGGTTGCCTTTCTGTTCCTTTAGGGTTGCTCCCTCTGTTGCCAAATGCTACTCTGTCGCTGGCCCAAATTCTGCTGAATCTTGATTACTAGTGATGGGAGCAGCACCGCACTGAACAGGCAGCCTTGTATCAATCCTACCGCTGTCAACTGCTGCTGGTACTTAGTCACCAGCAGCAGGATCGACGATGTCAGACTTGCCTGTCTGACATTAGCCTTAGAGCTTGGGAGTGGTGAATAAGCAGGGGCCATGCTTATATCCCTCATCAGTTGTTTAGGTTAGCTTTGTTACGGTAACCTTTGCTCGTGGACTTTTTTTTTTATCATATGCTATTGTAACACTATTGTGGAACTGGCCCCTTTAAGGAAACCTTGATGTTGCAACTGTTAACCAGACACTTATGTGACATGAGTTCTTCACCCAGGAGGAGATGATCACAACTGCCTGTGCAGAACTACATATCCCAGAATACTGTGAGGGGAGGGGTAGAGGCCCTCCAGCTGTGGTGGAACTACGAATCCCATAAGGCTTTGCAAGATTCTCACAGACACGCATTACTCCCAGAGAGAGATGCATCATGGGATTTGTAGTTTCACCACAGCCGGAGGGCCGGAGTTTGGTCATCCCTGTATTGGATAGTAAATATTTGAAAAAGTACTACAGTAGTTCTACTCAGAAGATTCACCTGTTCAGAGGTGTTTTTAAATAAAAAAAGGTAAATCAATTTTTAGATTGTAAGCTCTTGTGGCCAGGGCCCTCCTAATCATCTTGTTTTGCATTGTATTGTAACTGTAATAGCTTCCTTATATTGTAAAGTGCTGTGCAAACTGTTGGCGCTATATAAATCCTGTATAATAACTAATGACCATCCCAAATTGTTCCTAGGACTTGGCAGATGCGTCCATGCTGACTTGGTATTGAGAGGTTTCCCTGCTGATGTGAATATAGAATACGGACAATTGCTGTGTATAGGCAGTGAATGTCAACAATAGATCTTCAGAGTAGAAGGGATAATCAACCATGACATATGTCTTATCTGTCTTTCCTATAGGCTGGCAGCCCCGTTGGTTTCTTTTGTGTGGAGGAATCCTTTCTTATTATGACTCCCGGGAAGATGCATGGAAAGGGTGTAAGGGAAGTATTCAGATGGCTGTCTGTGAAATTCAAGGTAAATACTGGGAACATACCTCCTTAACTTTCTGATGGGAGGGGACACTTTTTACAGTCAAATTGTTTTATTATAAGATATGCCTTGGTCACAACTTGGTCATAGTTCAATGAAAAATCGACAAATGAAAGTTAATATATTTAAAACATTAACAATGGTGACATTGGCAGATAAGGAAGTTACGGAAAACTAAAAAGCACTGTTACACATTGGTGTTTGTTTAACCAATGAACAGCCATTCATTCTGAATGCAACTCCAACGCATTGCGATGGGATAAAAGGGTCAGGTCCCATTTTCAGTGTGCTGGGTGTGTTGGCAGGCCATTCATTTTGAATTTTGATTTTAACACCGTTCACTTTGACATGCAGTAATGCACCGAAAAGGTGTGAGAGGGTTCTAAGGGCCTGTGCCAACAGGCTGTTTAAAGTCCGAACTGCTTCTCTTCACATAGAAGTCTATTGGAATACAGAGGCAGCTTAAAGCAGGTCAGCTGCAGGTCAAAAACACTGATCAGCAATAAATGAAAATACTGATCAGTGAATTCTCCATGATTTCAGAAGCGTCTCAAACTGACTTCAAAAGCATGCTCATAATCGGAGTCCAACGCCTGCCAACACAAGCCTCAATGTCTTTAACAGAAGACTATCTGTTTTTGTAAAATTATAAAATTGTTATGTAATCACTAGGTTACTTTGAACACGAGTGTACTTTCTCTTTAAATATATTCTATTGTAAAGGATTGCTTTTCTCTATGTGCCTTTTAAACAGTATGTTATATTGTTGTGTTGACAGTTCATCCTACAGATAGCACACGGATGGACCTGGCTATCCCTGGAGAGCAGTACTTCTATCTGAAAGCCAGGACAGCAGCAGAGCGACAGCAGTGGCTGGTGGCACTGGGGTCTGCAAAGGCTTGTATAACTGACATAAGAACAAAGAAAGAGAAGGGTAAGATGACCAGTCCATGTAGCATGTTTCCTCTTAAAGTGACACTGTCACTTAACAAAAGAACAAATAATGCCTCTAGAAGTTATACCTGCAGCAGAGGCGTCCGCACAAACCTGCAGCAGCTTTCATTGCCTTCTGTATGCTCAAATTCCAGACTTTTCTGAACCGGCAAAACTCTAACTCTTCCATGTTGGATGTCAGTTTGCATCCCTTCCCCTCCCCCCCAAATATCCACCACCCACACATTCCCGTTGGCCAGTAAGGCAGCCCATCATAGTAATGGGTATTCAGGCATAGGAAATGGGGGGGTAAATGAAGGAACGGATCTGACAATGTGCAGAAGTGTCGGAGCTTTGCGGATTCAGAATGGCTTGACAGAGTAACTTTAATCTTCATAAAAGAAATACAGAGGCTGCAACTGTTGACCTCCCTTGTGAAAAGCTAGTTGCCTGGCTTTCTCTAGCTTTAGTACTGTCTGAGAAACTGACCTGGAACATATATTCAAATCAGGAATCTTGGCGAGATGTTAGAACCCTTATTCTGGGACAGAATGGCAGCCAGGGACGTGGGAACCCCAATATTTAATTAGTTCAGTTTTACTTTTAATATATGACTCTATATTTTCAATTTCTGAAGGTCGGAACTCAATCTGCAGAATTTGAGACAGCAGTCATGCTGTATTTGGACATTCACAATGTCACTTTGGAAGGTTTTCTATAGGAGTGGCTGCAAGTAAAATATCTAAAAGATAAAGAAGAAATGTAGAAATGCAAATAGCAGAGTAGATGAGCAGATACTGCACAGCTAGCTGGTTTTGTGTTACAGAGCTTAATATTATTACATCTACTTCTCATGGTATATTTGCTTTATCAGTAATTTGTAGAATGTTGTAGAAAGTTTTACATAAAAGAATAAAGATTGTGACCTACCTACAACATTTTCAGTGATGATCTTGAAATAAAACATCCCATAACATTAGTGGTCAGTATAGAAATTACCCCTTACATTGGTTGGTGGTTGTGGAAAATTGTCCCCATGAGTTGGTGGTCAGTGGGAGATCGATTTGCCATTGCTCAAGGTACCCCTAGTAATCGCAGGAAGAACCCTATGTTTCCATGTAACACTGGATGAGAACGACTGCTTTAGTTAACCAATGTGTACCAATCCTGCCTTCTTCTATAGTTTGTAGACACTGATGATAACATCTGCCTGCCAGTGTTCCTAGCCTCATTCCCTACCACTGTGGAGTGATGGGTGTTCCCTCTCACCTTTTAGGTGTTCCTATTCTTCCAGTAACATTCTTCACAATATAAAATACATTCTAAATCTTGCTGGAACAGTAAGTAGGAACCCATGTGAGGTATACAGAACTGGGAAAGAGCAGAGATCTGGCAATCGGAGGCATGAAACCAACAGTGGTGTACTCTCAAACGCCCAAAATCCGAAATATGAGTTCCGGGTGCAGTCGTGATTGACTTGCACTTGATCTTAACACCACAAATGAATTACATATTTTAACAGAGTGAAAGGGGTGTATAATATTTTACAGTACATCTGTCATGAGAGAAGTATGTGGGTTGCCATTTCTGGTTTCTGGCTGCAATACTTTACAGTCACAGACCTGGAACATGCATGCTGTAAATGAATTTTAGAATTCTTTGTTCAGCTGGCCACACACCTTACAACCATCGCAAGACTTTTGTCATGCGATGGTTGTAAGGTAATTAAAACAACGTACGATCTGCCCATCTTGGACTGGCAGATCGTACTTGCGATAATCGCAAGCCCGCCCCGCTGAGTGGCGGGCTTCCGATGACCGCAATGCTGAACGGGCAGTGTGCGCTTGCACACACCGGCCCGTGCGGCAGTTATCTCACGATCATGCTACAAACAAGCTGAAAATCATACGATTCTCGGCTGGTTTTTGAACATGCTCGAAAGACAAAAGTCGTGCGACCGTACAGTAGAAACGGTCGCACGCCTTCCACACACCTTGCGATAATCGTACGATCGCAGGATTTCCCGCAATTATCGTATGATTATCGCAAGGTGTGTGGGCACCTTTTACTATGCTTGTTCCAGGTCTGTAACTCCAAAACCCTTGGAAGACAAAGCCTCAGTATGACCAACAGGGAAGTGAGGTCAGCAATGGCAGTCTACAAAATTCTCTCCTGACGTGTACTTTACTTGGGTATTCTGCTACCTCCATCTGCATAATATTACATACTGTAGAAGGGGAAAGCTAAATAAGACTTTTTCCAAGGTAAGAGGCAGTTTTTAATTTAAATTTAAAGGAGAACTGTGGGGTTCTATCTTTTTTTTTTATGAATGCATTCCTTAGGCTAAATAAGTAAATAATGTAATTACTGTAATTAGCCAAAATGCACAGGAAGGCTGTAAAACCTTATTTTAGGTGGTGGGCGGGGCTAAGCGCCGCAATGAGAAGACATCCCGACGTATCTGACGGGATCCTCCCCGCTGATGATTGACAGTGATTCTTGAGAGCTGCTGCGCGTCCACGAATATATGGTCATGCGCAGCAGCTCTCTCCTTACCTTGATAAATAAATATATATAATAATGTAAATGGGTAAGTCGTATTAGTCCAGTAGACAAGATGTAAAAAAAAAAAAAGACAAAAACAAAGTATTGCAGTATGCAATGATACCTTTTCTTATTAGAGCCAATGATCTAGCCCTCACCCTTCTATCCAATACAAAAAAAAAAACACATTTTATGAATAGCGTTTGCCTGCTTTGTTTGTATAATCACATACTAAAATGGAATAGAGCTTGGTAATATAACTTTGGACTGGGTATCTGAGACATCGGATTTCCTGAATATTACAAAAAGAGTGGCAAAATAATTGTATTCTAATGTACCCTCTACATGGGCAGGGGCACTATCAGCTCTAAGCCTTCAGACCGGACCCATCCTTCACAATGTTCCACATAGAAAACATCACCATTCAGCAATACAGAAGCCAGCAGCCATGACATCCTGCAAGATAATTATATTTGGACAGCTTTACTCTTAAATCCTTCTGGGAAATTACACGTTATCTCTAAGTTGGGGGAGTGAGACCAACTAGAATAAACCAAGCTTCACACAAGTCACTTGGATATATTCCATAAGGCAAAGAGGAATGTGCAATGACGCCAAGATGTCAGTGAGAAGTCATTTTCCAATGATAACGACTGTTCTGGGTTACTTTCCCTTAATTATATTTAATAAAATTTCTCTAGTGCAATAGTTGCTGACGGCTGCTGGCAATCAGTTAAATCTTAACACGCACCAATCAATTTAAGTGCACCTTTGTGTGCAAAACAAATAAATCAGTTGGAACTGCCATTCATCAGCACATTTAGAGACAGCTTCTGTATTGTTCTATATTTATCCTTTGGTTCATGTTTCCCTGAAATTGTCCTCCTTTATTACACCAGGATTAATAAAGTAGTCAGCTGAATTTTTGTGTACATATCATTAAAATCAAAGTAAACCTCTCGAACTTTACAATCATGACCACAAATAATACTTATGATATGCCTGACGTGTCTTCTAGCACGAAAGAAGATTTCAGTCATCACATCTGTTTGAAATGCAGATTAAGAATTTAATTCTCTGGTGACCTGCCGCCTTTGTCAAATCCTGCGCTTTAGATAGGATATTGCTGTACAGTAGCCCAGTGACCAGGCCTGTTTCTTCTTCCCTTTACTGCAGCAAAGATTCTCCTGTCCTCCTGATATTTCAATCAGAAGTAGATAATTACTTTCTAAACTCAGCTATTTGGTGTAAATGCAGACGAGAATTATTGTGTTCTGTTATGTGGTTGAAAGATGACGCTGCCATATACTGTAACTGCTGGAAGATTTTAGATTAGGCTTCATGATTACAAGCATAGATGTTAGAAGTACACAAACACCAAACTGCTAAGGCAAGTAAACCTACAATGCATGTAAAGAGCACCCACAAACATGCTCATGAATTAGCTGTAGGGAATAAAGGGAATTCTTATTTTATGATTTAAGCACAGTGAAATGAAATCTGGAAACGGTCATTAAACTTACTCCAGGGAGACATCTTTTCTTATGAATTGTGTTAATCTTCATCCTGGTATTTATCTTCTTTATCCACTGTTATCTTAATACCTATCTCTTTCAAGGGCACTGCATCTAGACCTACAACAGGCCAGTGTGTTAACTAATCAAGCACCACCCTCTGTTTTCGCCTCATCCACACACATTGGAGTATAAGAGGGATGTTGCACAACACGGGATCATGACTTTATAGAAGTGAATCAAAACACATTCCCTGGAATTCATAAAGGCTGTCATACGCACTCATTAGAAATCTGTCTCCTGTCTGTCCAAAATATGGTGACAGATTCTGCTGTAGAATTGCCTCAGACAGAATTTTCTGTTTAAAGTGACGCTAAACTCAGTAAATAAATCTTAAATAAGCATTTAGGTACCTTAACTATGAACAAAAATGTAGCTTATCTGTGTATCACTGTATATCCTAAAATCATCTCTTTAAAATTCAGCATATTTTTAAGGCCCCTTTCACATGGACTGATCAGGAGAGGATCCGTGCATGGATCCTCTCCTGATCACAGAGCTGTACGGTCACCTCTTGCGATGAAGGAAGAAACTGCAATTACCGGACCCCATGTCTGTCTATGGGGAATCAGATGTAAACGGATCAATCCGGTCCGGCGAAACAGGATACTTTTTCGTTTGTTTATCTGACCCGGGTGGAGTAGGGGGTAGCCAGGTGTACACGGATGCTCGTCTGTTTATACACGGCTGCCCATAGACTTACACTGGGCATCCGATCGAGTCCGCTCGAAAAACAGACAGGCTGACCTGATTGAACCGGCCATGTAAAGGGACCTAAGTTGAATAAATATTATAGTTCTCTTGAGGATTACAATATGAGCTCTGATATGTAACCCTTTTTGAGTACCGTAGTCATTTGTGTATTTTATTTGGCTAAAATTCTTGTGTTTGTTTCAGTGTTTAATGATGGCACAGAGGCTCTGAAAACGAAGATGTCTGAACTAAGGCTGTATTGTGATATCTTAGTCCAGCAAGTGAACAAATCAAAGGAAACATCTACTCTTAGCTCCTTGGATCCCCCGGTATGTGTGTGAATGTGTTATATATATATATATATATATATATATTTGTTTTTTTTTAATTATCCATATCAGTTTTCAGGCCTTCCACAGCAGGGTAATTTTTCAAAAAAGCTCTACCTTTTCATCATTAAGTTTTTCGTGACGGGAGAAGTACAGTGTGCGTCCCATCACAAGGTGCCTATATGACTGGCCACGTAGTTATAGTGGATTAGTTATATCAGGCTCTGTAATTCATTAATGAAATAGTTAGGCTTGTAAAAGCTTCTTTCTTTCAATAATGAGAGAATGAAGCAGGGGCGTAACTAGAAATCCCAGGGCCCCATCGAAACCCTCCTGTCCCCATTTTAATAGAAATGCACTGATCAGCAGGTTTTTGAGCGTTTTTAATTGCGCTGAAACGCAACTAAAAACAGCCGAAAATGCTCTTTCAAAAATCGTGCGGAAACCACGGTGAAACGCTTCCGCCCTGGTGTGAATGGCACCTGAATGAGGCCTAACACCTAACTTTAATACTTTCACACCAATGAGAGGCTGAGGAAGGGGGGATTATAAAAAAAAAAAAAATTAAGGAACGCTAAACTGTAAATATGCGATTTATGTTATGAATGGTTTTTGCGCTGTGTTGGTGTTGGTGTCTGTGTTGTGATAAAATGATACATGTGTATATTTAATTACAACACAAGGTATCACAATGCACAGCAATGCGTAATAAAGTTTTGCCATGCGCTGCCACAGTTAAATTAATGTTTGTTTACAAAAGAAAAAAATAATGCACTGCGATGCGTTCTAACAACGCACTGCAGCGCATGTGCCTGGCGTACACCACAATATGGTGCACGTGTATGTTATGGGAGGGGGGGGGTTGTGCTTTTTTTTTAAATTTATTTATTTACACATTTATTTATTTTTAATTATTTATTATTATTTTACTGTTGGGGGGGCATCAGGGAAATAGTAGGGGTCTAAACAGACCCCTGACATTTCCCTTTTGAAATAGAAAAAGACATTGAGGACACAGAGTCCTCAATGTCTTTTTCTGCAGCCTCAGCACTCATTGAATTGTACAGAGGCTTCCCATTCATTCACAAACTGCAGATAGTAAGATATTTACTATCAAGCAGATCCTCAATTGGGAAAAGCCTCTGTACTGAGTGCTTCTCCCCATTGAGAAATTCAGGAATGAACAGGAGGTGATGTAAAGCACTTCCTGTTCATTCATAACTGGTGACACATAGTACTATGTGTCCCCAGTTATTTACAAACACTGGAGTGATCAGAGGATCACTCCGCTGTTTGTGCTGCACACGGAGGATCGGTAAATATCAATGATACTTACCGATCCTCCGCTCGGCCACGCACTCAGCCGCTGTCATCCTGAAACTGACAGGAGGAGAGCGAGCCACTGTCCTCCTGTCAGTTCGAGGACAGCAGCGGCTCCTCCGCCGTCCATTTTTTTCCGGATCCCGCTGCCTCAGCCCATACAAGCGGAGGAGAGCATAAGCCCCCCCCAGTGCCGTGGGCCCCATAGCGGCCGCATCGGGCGCCATGGTGGTAGTTCCGCCACTGGAATTAAGCCTTTACATACAACTACGGGACGCTAAATAGCGAACCCGTATTTGACAGCTGAAGATAGCAGGGAGGTAGCAGTGACTCCACTCTCTGCTATTCCTCTTGGCAGCTGTATAGACTGGCCCGATGTTTAGATACATTTGTATCTCTTTGCCTGAAATGTATCTCTGTACTTGAAATGTATCACTTCTGATCGTCTAGGCACGATCAAGAACCTTTTAGATCTTAATCTGACATGCTGTCAGGATCAGTCTCTAAGGTTATTATTAGCTGTTCCTAAGTTTGGAGCAGCCTAATTAATAACTACAAATTAAAAAAGTTAATTTATCAAGCAGTCATGGTGACTGCTTGATATAAACTGCCCAAAAAAGAAAGTTTTTTTTTTACAGTGTTAAAAAAAAAATAAGTGTAAAAAAATTAGGAAAATAAAAATGTATATATAAATATATTTTTATACTATAATTATTATACAAAAAATTCTAATAATAATCAAAACTTGCTGCTGTGGAAGAATCACACCGCAAACATTTAAAAAGTGTCAGTCATTTATAAACAGAAAACTAGCTCAGCCATGAAGGGGTTAAAAGGCAATCCCAGTGACTTTAGCTAAACTGAGATCTCTTGAGTCTGCTGCAATCATGAAATCACTCTCCTCTCTGCAGTGATTACTCAGGCTGCAGTTTTTTTGCAGGTCACAAAGTGAGAGACTGCAACAAGAGGCTGGTCTTTTGTCAGACATTTGTGAACACAGACAGATACTGTAAAGCACCATATTTGCATGATGTTGTTGTCGTCATCTCTGATCCAACATTTCAGTCCAGTCAGGAGATGCTGACCCTGGATGATACCTGAACAAAAATGCCCCTGTCCTTCTGGTGAAGTACTGGAATCTCTAAGAGGCAATAAATACCGGTTACACTTCCACATTACTCAGCTTCCGTGTTTTTAAAGTATATCTAAAGCCAGAACATTTTTTTTCTAATTTTAGATAGAGGAGGGAAGAGTTAAAACCGCTGTCATTTTGTCATCTGTTTGCCCTGAAGGAGGTTTCCCTTCACTTCCCATCCTGCAGCCTCAACAGGAAGTAAGAGCACATCTTTCCAATGTGAGGGAAATCCCCTCTTGGGCAGTTGTCACAAGAACAAATGTCCCCATTGGAAGATTTCTCCTCTATTCCTGTTGTTGTGTGAACTCTACATTTTGGATTTACCCTCACTTTCTTTCCCTGTGTCACAGACAAGAATAAAGCAGTGGTTCTAACCCCTCACCGCTATATCCAAATCAAAAAAATACAAAAGTTTTGTCTTTTAGTTATATTTTAACATTGTAAAAAATTTGATGCAACTACCATTTTAACCTGAACCAGCACTTGCAATTAACACTTAGGCCCCATTCACACTGAGCGATTTATCGCGCGGTAATTCCCGCGATATCGCGGCTATTTACAGCGCGATATCGCTCTCCAATGCATCTCAATTGGGCTCTGTCCGTCGCGGGTCGTGCGTCGCTACAGCAGGACCCTTTTTGGAGCGGATTTTGCCGCCATTCTAGCTTGCTCAATGCAAGCATTTGCGCGATATCGCGTGACATCGCGCAAAATGCAAATCGCGCGATTTGCGAACCGCTCAATGTGAATGGGGCCTGAACCTGGATTTGAAATCTAAATCTAGCCTAACCGCTGGCCTTGACCATAACCTAACTACTCCCTGTAACTTAACCCCTTGAGATCTCTACTGACCTCATTAGGAGATTAAACTGTTGAGCAATTCTGTACCATGTCAGTGCCATAGGCTTCCTGTTCTGTGCCAGGATCTGCCACCACAGAAAAGCTGATTTGAGATTGCTGCTGTTGTCACTAGAACCCAGTCTGAGTTTAAAATAAACTGAGAAAAGGAATCACAAAATCTGGAGACAAAGTCAACTTGGTGGCAACAGCAACATGTTGTCCGTGATCTGATTTTTATAATTTGGGAATTTGTGTAAATAGGGCAGAAAACCAGTACTGTTACCCATTGTAATTGGTCTATTTATTTACTTTTACTACTAAAATTAGTTCATATTTATTTCTTTGTGTGTTTGCCTGTCATCAGTATCTCTTAAAGTGACATTAAACCCTCAGATTTTTTAACATAAAACAATACTGTAGTGTGCGCCTTACTGTAATCCATGGTTGTTTCCCTTCTCTTTGCTGCTCTTCCTTTTAAATCTGTATCTGTTCTCATGCTGGGCAGAACTTCTGTTTTGCAGCAGACTGCCTTGTCTCTGGAATGGCTACATGGTGTCTGTGTGTAGGTTCACAACCTGAGCCAGCACTACAGGAAGAGGCACTCAGCTGCAAAGGGAAGTTCTCCCCAAGCATGAGAAGACATGAGGATTTAAAAGGAAGAGCAGCAAAGAGAAGGGAAACTACCATGGATTACAGTAAGGTACACATTACAGTATTGGTTTATGTTAAAAAATCTGAGGGTTTAATGTCACTTTAAGTTCTTCCACACCTGTGTTTTGTGCAAGTCCTTCAAAGTAGGTACATTACTACTGCTGAGAAATGCTTTGATCTTTTATTTTTGTCACTCTGGCAGGATAAACTTAATATGGGAGCCCTTTTGAAGTCAACCTGCAATACGTTCTTGAAAACACTTGAGGAGTGTATGCAGATTGCAAACAACACCTTCACATCTACTCTGGTGTACGGCACACCCCCTGGATCTCCTCACCTCTCCATTCTCCGGCCCAACAAGGTACAAAGTATGCCAGTAGCATCTCACGGACTGTGTGTACAGGAAGTCTAAACAGGAGGAAGTGTTTCTAAAATAATGGAAGGAAAGGCTGCCTCTGCACACATCTGCTTCTACAATACTGTAGCTCTGTGTTTGTCATATCTATTTTTAAAGTAAAATGCATTCTAATTCTATCACTCCAGTCTGTTTTTGCCCATCGGTGAGCAATCATTAGGATCTGATTGGCAGGTGTGAGACAACAAAAATAGTTTTTTGTTCTGACAATTTGACAGATATCACAGAGGAGTCACAAAACGCCACAGGGCTCTGAAACAAAATTTAAAGTGACACTAAACTCCAGAGGTAAATCTAAAAAATGCACGTACCATAACTATTAACAAAAATGTACCTTATCTGTGTATCACTCGGCTGTAGATTCTCAAATCATCTCTGAATTGGAGCTGACACTGTCCTTTCTGGAGGGTGGCTACTTTTGTGTGTTGTTGTAAAATAGTCACTGCTCCAAGCTCACTCCTGTGATGGACTACAATCTCAATACAAATTAGGAAACGTGGGATTGCAGTCCCTCACGGGAGTACTTTAGGAACGGTAGCTATTTTACAACACACACAGGGACCATGGGGAACAAAAATAGCCACCCTCCAGAAGAAAGGACAGTGTTGGCACACATTCAGTGATGATTTGAGCATCTAAAGCTGAATGGTGCACAAAAGGGGTACAGTTTTGTTAATAGTTAAGTTACTTGAATGCATTTTTAGTTTTAACTCCTGAGTTTAGTGTAATTTTAATTTAGGCAAATAGACTGTTCACTTTGAAAGAGAGTTTTCCATTAGCTTTGTGAATGTGGTAAAGTTCTGCTGACTTCAATCATCCAATCACGTGCAAGCAAAAATACTGTTTTCTCTTTTTATTTTCCTTTTTTTGGTGAGCATAAAATGTTCTTTTATTCTTTTAAAAAAAAAATGTTTTCATTGTTTTAAATTCTTTATTAACTTAAACAGTGTCATAAAATACAGTAACAGTGTAAAAGGTAAGTTTACATAGCCCACAGGTTCCACAATAAAACGGACTGTACCGTATTGGACATATAGAACCAGACTTATAGAGTCAGATCAATACACACTTAAACAATCTCGGTAAAGTATTTTTGCTTCCTGCCATAATCTGCAAAGTTCCATAACTCTTTATAAGGAAGCTCTGTGGCTAAGTATGAACCTTGAAAGTAGCTGTGTCTCATGGTCAAAGGAAAAGGCAGTAGAAAGAAAGATCCAGAAAAAGGAAAGAGGCAGTGGGTTCGGGCAGGGCCCGACGTACGCTTCAGGGGTTCTAGTTTCCGTCCTGAGAGAGTTGGTGTGGGAATTGCGCAGAGGTTCTGTAGCACAACCATGGCCCCCAGGTGGCATTGAATTGAGCTTCTGTATTTTTCAGCGAGGCTGTGAGGTCCTCCAGCAGGTAGATGTCCTGGACTGTGGGAGGCTGGGGTCCCCCCACTTCAGGGGTATACAGGCTCTGGCAGCATTCAACAGATGGTGTGTTCTTCCCCAGGCCAATGTGCCGGAGAACCCCAGACATAAAAGCCCAGCTTACCCTGTCGATTGCCTTTTCGGCATCCATGGAGAGCAGTATCATCTGGGACCCAGACCTCTTGGCCTGGTGAACTACACTGAGGGTTCTGGTAGTGTTGTCCCTAGCCCCACGGGCCGGCATGAAACCCACCTGGTCAGGATGAACGAGCCGGGGGAAGAAATAATACCAACCGTTTGGCTATGATTTTTGCGAATAATTTCAGGTCCATGTAAAAATGCTATGGGACGGTAATTGCTGCAGGAGTTGTGGTCCTTGTCGGGTTTTGGGATCACTGTAACCCATGCGTGCAGAGTATCCACCAGAGGGGGAGAACCAGCCAGAATGCCATTGTATGCTGCCAGAAAGGGACCCATCAGGGAGTCAGAAATCTTTTTGTAATAAGGAAGCGTGAAGCCATCCGGCCCTGGGGCCTTCCCTGAGTGGGCAGACTTCAGAGCCCACATCAGTTCCTCAGGCTGCATCGGAGTTTCCATGCTGTCCCTGTCCTCACCTGCAAGCGACGGCATTCCAGATGCCCTGAGATACTGCATTATGGGGGCCCCTGGTGAGTGTCCCCGAACATACGAGGGTTCAGACCCCAGGTTGTACAGGGACTCGTAATACAATTTAAATTCAGTAGACAGTAGAAAGGCATCATGGCACACTCACAAGTCAGCATGTAAAACAACTTGTCTCACCACAAAGGTCAATAACAGAGGTTTGGATACACGTCTTCTGCAGAAAATGTGAAAGCCGCACTGCCGCGCCAAGGCACCTCTTATAGTGCGACCCTAACCTTTCTACTGTCTACGGTTTTAAGCCCATTTCGTGTGCACCTTGCTGTATAGTTGGTGACGAATTGTTGAGTGCGTTTGTCATTTGTTTTGCTTGAACAATTTAAATTCAGCCGCAATATCCGCAGACACAGTCGCCCTGCGGCCGGAGGAAGTGACCAAATGACCGATGGGAACCTCTGAGAGCGTTAGCCAGCAACCTCCCCGGTTTGTCTGAATATTCGTAAAGAGTCCTACGTCCCCTTAGCAGCCTGCCCTTGACCCATTTAAAGAAAATATCGTTCAGTCCGGACCTCCAATAGTTCCGCCCCCGATCCTACAGTCTGAGATCTCTTATGCAGGCCCTGCAGTACCTGAAGGCGATACAACAGGAACAAGATCCTAGAGGTAATTTCTCTTCCGTGCACCATGTTTGATATGCATGTAAAACAACTTGTCTCACCACAAAGGTCAATAACAGAGGTTTGGATACACGTCTTCTGCAGAAAATGTGAAAGCCGCACTGCCGCGCCAAGGCACCTCTTATAGTGCGACCCTAACCTTTCTACTGTCTACGGTTTTAAGCCCATTTCGTGTGCACCTTGCTGTATAGTTGGTGACGAATTGTTGAGTGCGTTTGTCATTTGTTTTGCTTGAACAATTTAAATTCAGCCGCAATATCCGCAGACACAGTCGCCCTGCGGCCGGAGGAAGTGACCAAATGACCGATGGGAACCTCTGAGAGCGTTAGCCAGCAACCTCCCCGGTTTGTCTGAATATTCGTAAAGAGTCCTACGTCCCCTTAGCAGCCTGCCCTTGACCCATTTAAAGAAAATATCGTTCAGTCCGGACCTCCAATAGTTCCGCCCCCGATCCTACAGTCTGAGATCTCTTATGCAGGCCCTGCAGTACCTGAAGGCGATACAACAGGAACAAGATCCTAGAGGTAATTTCTCTTCCGTGCACCATGTTTGATAAGTAGCCCCCTCACCACACATTTATGAGATTCCAATATCATGAATGGGGGAGCCGAAGAGGGGGCATTGACGGTGAAAAAGGCTCTCGGTTCTGCATCTAGATCTGCCTTAACCAACAGGTCTTGCAAAAGTAACTAATTGAGTCTCTAGGACGGACATGGAGAGCCTCTAAGTCAAGGGTCAGGTGCAGGGGAGCATGGTCCGACAGCAATATACTATCTATGGAGGCCCCCGTACCAATGAGAGGTCCTTATGCTGCACAAACAGATAGTCTATGTGTGAGTACATCTGGTGTGGACTGGGGAAGTATGTAAAGTCCTTTCCCTTAGGATGGCAAAATCTCCAAGTGGAGAAGGTGAAATTCCGCCTTCAGTTTCCTCAGATAGGCATAAGACAGATGGGAGGTCCCATTTGAGACATCCCAGAGCGGGTCCAGCGGGAAGTTGAGATCCCCCCCAAAATCAGCACCCTCTCCATGAACTCCAGCAATCGTGGAGCCAGAGCCTGCATGAACCCCAAGTGGTCTTTGTTCGGGAAGTAAACGTTAGCAAATGTGACCTGGGTGTCACCCAGCTTCCCCTTGAGGAGTATATATCTTCCTTTTAATGTCCAGCAGCTGGTTCCCAAACGTCCAGGGGACATCTCTAGACAACAGTATGCACACTCCCTTGGATTTGGACAGAGGGGAGGGGCAGTGATATGACCATGGGAAGTCCCTGTTGATAAGTTTGGGTACCTTTTATCATGCTGGAAGTGTTTCCTGAATAAATGCCACCTGGGAGTGAGATCGCCTGAGGTCCGACAGCATTCTGGAATGCTTCTCCGGGATATTAAGCCCTCGGACATTCAGAGAAGTCACCACGAGGGGCCCCATGATGACAGTCCAGGAATTCGGAGCCTGTCCGGAACTCTAGATAAGGAAGTTAGGTACAAGGGAAGAGGAATGAGGAGAAGGGGGGAAGGAGCAGTGAGAGGGGAAAGAAACGGCAGGGGAGCAAAGGTATAGAAAAAGACCACGAGAAACAGCAAATAGTATACGTTGCACAATACAAGTCGGGTCAAACTAAAGTTTTAATTAAGGACCCATTCAATAGCGAACAGGGCAGACCTATGTGGGGGTAGGTAAAAACAAGAATAGAACAACAGTAACAGTACTGCATGTATTCCCCCTCATTTTCCTTTTCACATGATTGGATATTCATGGGAAAATACATTTCCCCCACATTCACTAACCTAAAGGAAACACCCTTGCAAAGTGATCAGCCTATTTGCCTTTAGTAAATCAAACCCTTTATCCCCCTCAATAGTGTGTGTTTCCAAGCCTTGGCTTGTTTTTCTTTGGGTGCACGTTGCTGACCTCCTATTCTATGTTTTCTTTTAGGTACGCCGTTCTAGTAGCCAAATCTCGGCACAAAGGTAAGTGTATGGGAGGTAATTCTTCTGAAGAACAACTTATTAATTATATTTGTTAAAGGAAAGCTATGGTTTTATCTAAACGTTTATTAACCGCCTCTTAGCCCCCTGTGGTGATAACAAAAAAGTTGAGTGGAAAAAAAAATAGGAAAAAAAAAAATTTTCGTTACAAAAAATAATAATTTAAAGTCACACCTGAAAAAGAATTAGAAAAACACATTTTTTTTGAAAGTTCCCCACCCATACATACACGCATGCAAACATGCGTCGGGTGCGAGTGACAGAGATAAGCTTATGGATCTGCTGCTTTTACTTTCACTGTTCAGTCACAGGGTGGGGGTGGGGAGGAGACTTGTTGCAGAGAAAAAAAAAACAGTTCTCCTTCCTGCCACAAAGGAGTGTGCTGTATAAATCTCAGAATTGGATGGACAGAAATGCAAATCCTTTGGCAGGCTAAACACCTCACATATATGTAATTTATCTGTTTCTTTAACTGTTTGCCTGGAGTTCAGCTTTATGGTTTGATATTTTTTATAGGAAGATGGAACTAAACAACAACCTGGAAAATGGCCCCTTAAAAGGGGAAAACAATCATCATGACCATTCTCCAATTGAAAACATCCGCATACTCGGTATGGAAATGTCAGAATCAGTTCCATTGACTTCTCAGGATCCAGAAACACATAAGGACAGCGCAGGTAAACTAGCATGTAGCCCTCAGTCACACAGGAATCGGCCCGCACGTACAGCTCCGTGCAGGGCTGTACCAAGCAGCTTCCCGGGAAGGACAGGTGCCGTGTGTGATGAGTACACAGCCCCCGTCCTTCTCTATGGGACTACACGGCCGTACACCCCCCTATTCTCACCTCAAGTGCAGGTTTGTAGGGGTGCGTGTTTCCTCGCTTGGACGCAGACAGGATCCATCCTGTCAGCGTACCAGTACGCTCCCCCGCACGGACGTGTAGGGCAACGTACGGCCGCTTAGTCCCATAGAGAAGGAGGGGGGGCTGCGCACTAACCGCATGCAACACCTGTCCTTCCCGGGAGCTGCTCGGTACGGCCCTGCACGCAGCACTGAGCTGTACGTGCAGGCCGATTCCTGTGTGAGGGCTTAAAGTTCTTCAAATTAATTTCTAAACAATGTCTGCATGCGTGAGTAACAGGTACCTCCAAAACAAATACAATCTGCTATTATGTATCTATTTCTATAGTTGGCATGTTTAGAAAACGGGAAACCCTGCATTGTGAAGGGGACTGGCAGGATAACCAGTTATCCAGTAATCTGGGTTTTAGTTCATGCATAAATAAAAGCCTGCATTTCATCAGTTGTGAGGGACGGAGGATTCCAGTGTCATAGTTTTTAATTTAAAGATAAACGGAAGCGTGACCTTTTACTTCTTGCCCACTTTTAGAGAGTATTCTCCTGACTCTCCTGTGTGACTCTCCTAGACATTTAGTCTAGTTTCCCTGCACACTGTGACTTCCACACAAGCATTGGAAGCTGTCGCAAGATTCTTGAGTCTCATTTTTGGGCTAGACGACTTCAAGCATCAACAAGCTCTCGCTCAAGCTCTGTCCTTAGGCCACCCTTACAGCGATTTTGGTTTTCTCTGCTGTCAAACGTTTTGGATCAGTGTCATATGTGTGCATAAACCTTTTGGCTCAGTGTTATGTGTGGCTGTTAGCTTGGGTGGACTGCATGCAAATTTAGTACAAAGAGCAAAGACCAGCAGAGGGTATATCACATCACTGGGTATAAAATAAGGTATATATTGTAAATGAGACTTTTTTTTTTATATGTATAAAAATGTTAATTGAATGTTGATAAGGGGCAGGAGGAACAAGGGAGGGTATTCTATTCATACATTACATTACAAAAACAGTAGCATAGGAAGAGGCAAGACCACTGTCAGGTTTTTGTTACTCTGTGTCTCCAGTTGTGCTATCAAGATATGTTAGTAGGGCGCCGGACCCTCAGAGTAAGTTTAATTCAAGCACAAATCTAGCTCTTGAAGGCTGCTCTCTGTAAGCCGGGGTGTTCCTAGGGACCCCTGAAGCAGTCTATGAAAGGATGAGAGCACCACAAATCTAAATTAGGTCTAGTAAAAGTTTATTTTGCGCACAAGAGATCAGAAGATATAGCCAATGTGTTTCAGGGCTCACCAATCCCCCTTCACCAGGGCCTTTATGCTGGTAGTGATAGATGTTCGGAGATAAAAGTAGATAAGTAGTTGTGGCTTTTCTTGTATTGTTTTCTTCTGTGTTTTAACATGGAGGGGTCTAAAGAATAAGCAGGCCTTGCATTTTGGTGCAAGATCCATTTTAATGTTTTAAAAAATTAGAACAACAATAATCTCCCTCTGACTTCCCCCCAAACCAGATAATCACAAGGGCATTTTATAACAGCTACCTGATCTAATGAAGATCACAGAACCTAGCTAATTGACCTTCATTACTCCTTTTAAATAATTTAGAGGTGCCGCGCTATATACCAAGCTATAGCGAACAAACCAATATTAAAGTGAAGGAATTATTCGGTATAAACAATCAATATCTGTGTGTGTATATATTCCACTCTCCACATTTCAAAGTGTAACGCCACCGTGATCTTCTAATCAAAGTTCTTATACACTCCCCAGTCTTATGTCTTTTTCTTAAATAATATTAAAGTCCTTTTGCATCATTGAAGTGACAAGGTTTCACCACCCTTGCATCTCGTGGCAATCCACAGCCACTTTAAATCCCCTTTTATATAGCCAAAGAACGCGATCCTCTCTTATATGTGACACTCATAAAAGGGAATAAACAGAGAACATAGTGCATACAAGCCGATCTATAATAAAAGCAATTTATTGAAAACTACTCCCATGGTTAAAAGAAAGTGAATCAAACAGCAGATCTGTGAAAACTGGGATCGCCTCTCATGACAATTTACTTTGGACCAACTGATCCAGCTGGCAACACCGCTCTGCTTCCAGCAATAAATGAGCTCCGTTTCAGCTGGTGGCAGATAATGGCAAGTACATCGAGCTCTTCAGCGTCTCTCCGATTCCTCTGATAGTCCAGCCCTATGCGTGTTACGTCATGAACCACTTGACTTCATCAGGGGCATACTTACTTCACTTTAATATTGGTTTGTTCATTATAGCTTGGTATATAGCACGGCTAAATTGTTTATTACGTTTGTTTATATATTAGTGCACGCAGCAGTTGAGTTATGATTGGCGCGAGATATATTTCACGTTTTTTCATTACTCCTTTTGTTGTGTTTGTTTGCTATCGTGGACCATATATTGGTATGGTTTATAATGTAAAACCTTTTTCTTTAAGGTGCTGAAAGTTCATTGGATAACGTTTCCTCGGACAGCTCAATTGTCTGCGATCTACAGGATGAAACAGACCCACATGCCAGTCTACCTGCAGTCAGCGATACATTGCAGCAGGATAAAGGAGGAGGGACATCGGATGAAGGTGGAGGAGGTACAGAGGCAGAGCTGCCTCCAACATTTTTCAGCACAATGACTCACAGGTATTTTAGTTAAATAGATCTCTATATTACTCAGCAGAGCACAGATCGTAGACCTATAATAAAAAAGGAACACCGCTTTTATTATAAGGTTAGACAAAAAAAAAAAAAAAACCTCAAAGTACACAGTTCTGATGCTTAAAATACGTATACTGCACAGATTTTAAAAAGCTGAAGCTTGTTGAAGATTCCTACCTTTTTCTGTTTGTATCACCATGTCCTTTCCAGACTGATTGCTGAATGGTAGAGTCTGGTTCATTATAGCCACCTGGTGCGCTTTCTGTGTTGTAATGAAGAACGTTGCAGTGTCTGCATCCCTTTTAGAAGTAGTTCACCCTCAGGGAATGAAATCTGTTGCAGAAGATTCCTAAAATGTTACTTGTATCTTGTAGTGCAGACTTCCTGTGAGCCAATCACACAAACAGGAAATTGCATTTCTGGGGCCATTCCGCACACCAACAGTGTACAGAATGCCTTCAGGTTGCCATATTGCATTCATTTTTTGAACAGTTTTAGAAAATTGCAGTGGCTGCAGACTGAAATGGAAAGGCAATTATTTTTAACAACTTATAAAATTGCTACGCGAGCCATTTTGTAATTTTAATATGTTATATTATTGTTTTAATGAAATTCAAGGTTTTCTTTAAAGTTAACTGGTTTACCTGCAAAATAATTTGTCATTTAATCCAACCATTATTGTTCTTGTATTCCCGATAACCACTCTGTTACTTAGCATTGCTGCCTCCTAGGTCATCTATTTATAGGCAGAGGTAATATGGTGAAAAGGGAGAGAACGGTGTCATCTGGCAGGCTGTGTCATGTGCAGAAATGTGTACATTGTCATTGTTTATGATAATTACAAATTGATGGCAGTAGGGATGCACCAATACTAGCATCGGTGCCGATACCAAGTATTTGGGTGAGTACTCGTACTCGCCCAAATGCTCCCGATACCGGAACTTCCGGTATCAGGAAGCCGGGCGGCGAGTCATTACACGCGCCCGGCTTCCTGATTGGCCCTCACCAGGGAGCATGGAGCTGGCTTCAGGGCCAATCAGGAAGCCGGGGAGTGGGTAATAACTTGATGAGGGACCATGGAGCCGGCCTCCCGGCCAATCAGGAAGCCAGGCGGTGGGTAATGACTCGTTGCCGGCTTCCTGATTGGTCGGGAAGCTGGCCAATCAGATAAACGGGCGGCAAGTCATTACCTGCCCCCCGGCTTCCTGCTTGTCAAGAAAGCTGGGTCCATGCTTTCTTGTCACCTAGTGAAGAGGGAGCATGGAGCCGGCTTCCAAGATAATCAGGAAAGCGGGTGGTGCGTCAGTACACACCGACCAGCTTTCTTAATGGGACTTTCGGTATCGGCGAGTACCAAAAAAATATCATTACTCGATACCGAAAACCCGGTATTGGTGCATCCCTAAATGGTAGTATGTCCAACAAGCTCATGTAGGTGTGATAGTCAGGTGTCCCCAAATTATGGCCTTACATTGTAAATGCTTTTGAATTGTGTACTTATCTGTTTAACCAGAGATCAACATTAAGCTTTAGTCTGTGTTATAAAAGTAATATTAATCACCGTATTTTGCACTCCATAAGGCGCACCTGACCATAAGACGCAGTCTGTGTACTGTGTAGTTCCTGTGATTACAGCGCCACGGTCTCAGTGATCACACAGAGCAGACAAAGAACGGAGTTCTTCGTCTGCTCGACGGGCTTTATGGTGAGCTCCTATGCCATGTTCACCGGTCCCCCAGAGGAGCGAGGGACCCCGAAAACTGCGCCTGGTGGGGGGTGCTGGACAGAATCGCCGCTGCTCCTTTCATACAAGTGATCTAATAAGGTCACTTGTATGAAAATGAGCGGTGGCTCCACACTATACATTTCGCTCTGCTTGGAGCAGGGCTAAATGTACATAAAAACTACTCGCCCGGCGCCCGAAACTGCATGTCCCGGGCGTCGGGGCATAGGGATTCCACACCCCTGGGTACACTGTCAGCCCCACCGCCTCAGCTCTCACACATTCGCTCCATAAGACTCATTTTTTTTTAGATTAATATAATTTTTTTTTTTTTACTGATGATTTTTTGAAGTATTCAATACACCTAAAGGCAAGTATTTCACGTTTGTCATATTGTGGTATGAGGATTACCAACTATGTTGTGTTTGTTTTTATGTGTTCTGAAGATTCAGTGATCTTGTGTATGAAGGTGAAGATGGCATTCCAACAGAATTCTTCCTGGATTCCTGTTACGCTATAGTCCCTGTTCTAGGTATGTATTCCTTTTGTAAATTGGCTATGCAATCAAGTTGTTGTTCTATAGTGTTTTTTTTCTGTCTCTTTCAAATTCAAGTAAGCTTTATTGGAAGGACTAAATATATTTTAGCATAGCCAAAGCATTTTAGGAGTTTTTATGGGATGGATTGGAGGTCGGTTGGGAGGAAAGTCCTAGGATGTTATTAGGGGTGATGGATAATATAAAGGAAATCGGTGAGTCCAGAAATGTTATCTGGGTAAGGATAATATAAAGGGGGTGGAGGTGAGTCATGTAGGGTATTTAGAAGTCTAGGATTTCTCATGTTCCTTTCAGTCTGTGACATTCTGTTACAAATTTTGCAGCCATGTACTGTCAACTCCTCTACTCCCAGTAGAATGTGAAGTCTGGGGTTAGAGTGGAGAGTCTCTGGAAGTAAGTGTCCCTCATCCTCCAGGGCCCCCTGGTCACAACGCTGGCACTGTCTACTCTCCATGGTCTTCTAGGTGTGTCTATGCTGCTCTGATTGGATTTCCAGGCTGTGGGCGCTCAGCCTGTACAGGCTCAGGATCTTTTTTGTGTCACTTTTTTTTCTCTTTGAAAACTTTGACATGCATGTGTTTTGCTGGCTTTTTGTTAATTATGCCATGTACACAGGCAAGACAAACCTTTAACCCACAACTAACGTTAAATAGGTTATGAACTTGGCAGGCATGTAACAGGAAGTAAGCAGATGTAAAAAACTAAGTGCAGTTGTAGAATGCCAAATGACTTCAGTGTTGCCTCTATCAAAGGAGGTTTGCTATTGGTGCTTCAGCAGAGCCGTTAACAGCTTGTTTGTCTTTCTGCAGATAAGCTCGGGCCAACAGTGTTTGCACCGGTAAAAATGGATTTTGTTGGGAACATAAAGGTAAGGGGAATTAATGGACTGTGATATGTAACCTGCACGTTCTTACTACGTCTCTACTATTGAACTTACTAAGAAGTTTGTACCACCTTGGTCACCTGATCGAACATGGTCAAGACTGTCTCCTTTTTTTTTTTTTTTCTTCACGGTACTTTGTAGCCTCACTCACCCACTATCCATAGTTCATTAGATTTGTGACGGATCTGATTATATAGAAGTATAATCTGTGTTAAGAAAGCACGTGCTTTTCCATGTTATTAATAGTAAGACATGAATGCAAATACCATTCTCTCCTAATTCTTTACAAACTGTTCTGTATACTTTTGTAGAAAATAAATCAGAAATACATCACTAATAAAGAGGGGCTCACAACACTACAAAAGATTGTTCTCCATGAAGTAAATGCCAACTTGGCACAAGTGCGCAACTCTGCAACTGAGGCCCTGTTGTGGCTGAAGAGGTAAGAGACAATGTTTGGGTCATTTGTCACAACATGGCGTGATACACATTTGATTTCTTCAGCATATACACCTTGTATTGGCACTAGTTGTTTATAGAGAACCATGAATACCCACATAGGATTCTGCACATGTATGCTATTACTTTAGCACAGGTAAATCACAGAAATCCATCATCTTTAAAAAAAAGTCTGCAAATGTGGTGTAACATACAATATCCAACTGTATATGGTCTGTTTATTGGTACTATGTAGTCACAAACACGTTTGTTTGTATTTTTCCCCAGGGGACTCAAGTTTTTATTTCAGTTCCTTACTGAAGTGAATAATGGTGAAAACAATATTCAGACAGCATTAGGTATGTGATTTTTTTTTTTTTTTTTATTTTTTTTTTTTTTTAAGGAAAAACACATTAAACAGTATG